TCTACAAACATGCTTAAAAAGGTAGTCCAGGTCAAAGACATCAGTGTTTCTGCTCATAAGACATGCAGAAATGCCCGAGACTCACAGAGAATTATCTCCTAACAGATGTACTCATTAATATTTTCCTTCATACTCCCTTGTTATTCCTCCATCAGATGTACTATTATGTATATATTTTATTTTTTTATTTTTTTTAAGTTTATACATTTTAAATTTAGTTTTTATCAGTTGTACATGCAATAATGTAAAAGGTTAAATAGCTTTACAAGGCCTACTCCTTAAAAACAGTTCTCTCCTCCCCTCCTCGCCATGGACTGCTCCTCTTTCAACTCCAGCTGAGCCTTCCAGCATCGAGCACTATATTTCTAAATAACATTTTTATATTACTGCTACTTCCTCGTTTCTAAGATGAAGGCATTGACTCTTGATGTCCACTGTAGAAAATGTGGTTTCACCTTTCTTTCACAGGCCCACATTTGCCTATCTTCTGGTTTCTCATTTTTCCAGGATAGTTAAGGTGTAATTTTGGTTCCCTTAATATTTAATATTTGCATTATTATTATTATTTTTTAAATTTTTATTTATTTATGATAGTCACACAGAGAGAGAGAGAGAGAGAGAGAGAGAGAGAGGCAGAGACACAGGCAGAGGGAGAAGCAGGCTCCATGTACTGGGAGCCCGATGTGGGACTTGATCCCGGGTCTCCAGGATCACGCTCTGGGCCAAAGGCAGGCGCTAAACCGCTGCGTCACTAGGGATCCCCAATATTTGCATTATTAGACATTATTATTATAAAAGCTATTCACAGATAAGTTGTGTGCCATAAATTTTCTTTTCCTGTGCAACTTTTTGTTCTCTCAAAGTCAATTGTTTTGTTAGTTTTCATTGTTCTTCTTCAAATGGCTAAATGCCTAAATCTTACAAAACATTAAGATTCAGTTTTCCCTTCTGGAACTCTTCTCCTGCAGAGCCCTTTGACCAGCTCCATTCTGTGGGGGTTGCTCCTCAGGCATGCCATGCAGGTAGCCATTCTCAACATCTGCTGGGAATTTCTTCCTCTCTACTGTGCTTGATTCTGTTCCCTGGATCCCATGTCTACTCTTTTTTTGGTTTACATGTCCATTTTTGGCAAATCATATGCTAATAAACGGGCACATAGGAGATACGTGTTTTGAGACATTGCTTGATGGAGACATTGCTTGATGAATTTGTGCCCTCACACTTAATTAATAGTTAGGCAGGTATAGCAGTGTAGGTGGAAAATAATTTCCCCATAGAATCTTTGAAGGCATTTGCTTCATTTTCTTCTAGCTTCCAATGTCTTGGTTCAGAATCTGATGCCATTCTGATTCTCGACACTTGTATGAAACTTTTTCCCTCTCTCCAGAAGCTTTTGAGATCTCTTGTTTGCTCCAGTGTTCTGTAATGTCACAGCGATATGCTTTCATTTGGGTTTGTTTCCATTCACTGTGTATCTTTCACATGGTGTATCCTTTCGATCTGGTGACTTCAAGCTCTGGGAAAATTTCTTAATTTATTTCACAGGTGATTTTATCCCCCCCCCCACCCCCAGTTTCTCTGTTCTTTTTTTTTTTTTTTTTTAAACTGAAACTATCATTCAAACATTGGACTTTTTGGACTTGTTTTCTCTTTCACTTTCCATCTAATTGCTTTTTGCTCTGCTTTCTGAGACATTCCTCCCATCATACCCTCCAAATTTCCTATTGTATATTTAATTTCTGCTACCATATTTTTAATTTCCAAGAACTTCTTTAAATTTGCTTTTCTGTTCCCTTGATGCAATGTTTTCTCTTATGTCTCTGAGGATACTTCTCCTGTTGCAGTTTCTGTTTCCTCCAGGTTATTTTTCTTTATTTGTTTTGATTTTTGTCTCTGATGTACATACTTTCCTCAAGTCTCTGATAGTCTCTAGCTGTTTGCTCATCTTTAAGAGTGGGATGCCATGGAAGCTTTCTCTGTGAGGTTCTCCAGAGGGTGATTTGGCTGTGCCTGATTTCAGGGGTGGTTGGGTCCCCAAAGATGAGCCTTCTAGTCCCCCACCTGGAGGGTATGGTTGCCCACATTCTAGGAGCCAAGGAAGGAAGAGATGTGGGGATCTCAATATTCCATGTGCAATTGTTCACTTACTCTGCCTGCTTAAGTCCTGAGTACCTGCCTTCCTCTCCTGGCCTCAGCTTTGGTCTCTACTAGGGTGGATGAGGGGCTCTGTGTCACTACTGAGAGTGGGGCAGGAGATTCAGGTATTCTTTTCTTTCAACAGGCATCACCTTCATTCCATCCTCCTGATGTACTTGTTGTTGCCAATTCCTGAGGCTGCCTGGGGTTCTGTGCTACAAATCTGAGGGTTTTGTTTATGTGTTTGCTTGTTTTTCTTGTGGCCAGTTTAGGATTGAACTTTCTCAGGTCTGGCTAATTACTACTTATTCATCTGCCCTCCAGCTTCCAAAATTTGGTTGCTCTTGTCCACCCTCTTCTTTCCTTTGTACAACTGAGTTTATTCCTTTTACTGTCATTTTAGTGGGACTTGGGGGAGAAGATAAATGTATTCAAACTTGCATTTTAACCAGAACCAAATCACTATATTTATTACATGTTTTTGTATCTGTCTTTCCTACCACATGTTGAATATCTCAATGGCATCCCAAATGCTTTTAAAAAGTTATGTTTCAATCACCTTTTTATTGAATTAACTAAATAGATTATAAGAGTTATTTATTTATTTATTTATTTATTTATTTATTTATTTATTTATTTATGATAGTCACAGAGAGAGAGGCAGAGACACAGGCAGAGGGAGAAGCAGGCTCCATGCACCGGGAGCCCGACGTGGGACTCGATCCTGGGTCTCCAGGATCGCGCCCTGGGCCAAAGGCAGGCGCCAAACCGCTGCGCCACCCAGGGATCCCGAGATTTTTTTCTTGATTGTGGTTTTCTGAATAAATAAATGGAATGACTAGGTTTGTGTAACACAAGGAGAGAAGATTCACTGCCTGTTTTTAGGTCTGATGCTGTGGTTGTTGGTTCATAATGGGCATGCTATTATACAATTGCTCTATTTTTCATAAAACCCTAGTGATGATTCATTCAGCTAATCCCAGAAAATCCACCATGTTAGAACCAAATAATTAAAATGGACTTTGAGAGCTCACATGATAAATCCCTTTCCCTCTGGCTGAAAGCACTGTTAGTCTACTACAGTACCAAGAAAAGAGGTTGTCTCATAAGTATGAGTGTAGACATGTTTGAAAAGCTGGAGGATATAAGTTCTCTAACTCAATATTATACCAGGAAAGATAAGATAAAGAAACAAGACAAAACAGAATACCTTGCGGGTCCTCAGATACTAATTGCCACTCAACACTCTGGATGTCCTTAGGCTACCCTCTGTATTCTCTGTCCTCTTCTGGTCAAGAGAAAGCCAAAAGCCAGAGGATGGAGAGGAGGTGTGTGATCACAGCTGGAAAAGAGCTCTGGTGTATGTATGGGTCCAGCAGCTGGGATCTCTCTCCTGACTCCTCGTATCCAGCCTTATACATAGAGTGTGAACCACGGGGCACTGGTTATTAGATCTCCTTCCTGAGCCAGATTTCTGGCTACTATGATAGATTACACAAGCATATGATGTTTAATATAAAAGATATTAAAACAGTTTTTTAAAAAAACCTCTTTGGAAAGTCCTCTGAAGAAAGAGAAAGGAAAATGAAAGCTTTTTATTATTGCAATGTTCAAGCATACACAAAAGTAGTGAAATAGTGCCCCGATGCATCCAACTTGAACAATTATCAACATTTTACTAATGCTATAAAATCTGCTCTTGCCCCCCTTACCCCATTCACTTTTTAAACAAGTATTTGCTGGAGTACATGAAAGCAAATTTCAGATAGCATATCACTATCAACCACAAATACTTCTAAATGATCTGTAGTTGTTCACGTTCTTCTTTTTTCTTTCTCCTTTATACAAAACCACAATGCCATTATTATTATAACCTAACAATGAACAATTCCCTACTATCATCTAATACTCCAGTCCATATTAAAATTTTCCGGATTATCTGAAAAATATCTTTTTGCAGAGGATTTGTTTGAATCAAGAACTAAATAAGGCCCACTCATTGTATTGGGTTCATTTATCTCCCGTCTCTTTTAGTTCATAATGATAACTTTATTCTTTAACTTCCATATAATGGTGTGCATTAAAAATTAAGGTGGGCTTATAAAAGCCTTTGCTTTGCTGCAGTGTCAGCTTTATTTTAATCTGGCACCCTTCCAAATTTTAAGTGCTCTCAAGGCATGCTTTTCATGGATATGTACTGGCCTACTGCTTCTATTAGTCAGGTTAGAATTGAACAGTTAGTCATCTTAATACAACTGCATTCTGCCTTATTTATTGATGCAACTACTCAAGCTTTGGAGAGAGCTGCTCATTAGATTTGTGTATATTTAAATATTTCCCTGTTATGTTAAAAATTATAAATCCATACTGTGTATTGCAAAGATGGTACAATTTGATACATGGGAACTAAATGTAGTAATAGATATATACATTAGGTATTATTCTAGAAATGATTTAAAGCAATTTATTTTAAATGGTAATAGTGGAGAAGGAATAAAAGCGTCCTCTTAGGGCAGGATCTCTTGGTCAATAAAGACAGTGCTAAACCCCAACACTTCTGTTCATTATTCTATTTCTACCTGTCCTTCATGTTTTCAAATCTCCTCTTAGCCCTGCAATCAGGATTAGACTTGCTTCTCCCATTTCTTGACTAGGTTATTCAATTAATAGTTTTTGAGTGACTGCTATATGCCAGACATGTTATAAACTAGATCTCATTTAACTCTTACTATAGCCTGTGGAGGTAGCAACTCCATTTTGCAGACATGGAAACCCAAGATCAGAGCTTTGGTGAGGTACTCAGTCACTAAACTCTAAAGTCAATGCCGAGGGAAGTTATAAAGCATTTAAAATTGAATCAATACCTGCTCCGTGGAATCCCCCGCAGACATAGAGCTTCCCATCCACTGTTCCTGCGTTGGTAGAATTGGTTCGAAGGGAGAGTAGGGGACTTGGCATAGGTGGGCCCTCTCTCCAGAAGTCCCCATCAGGGTTATAGATCTCCACCACATCAAGGCACTTTCGAACCTGGCCTTTGTCTCGACCTACACAGCCAATTCCACCTATAGAGAATGATAAACAGAAATGAGATTATCAAGAATTGCAACTTTTCTGTGGCAAGCACCCCCTTCCTCCTACAGTTTGTATCACATATTATGGGCCTCTGACTTTTTCTTCCCTGGTGCTACTTCTCTGATAATTTCTAAGCAATAGTGATGTCTGCTCTGTACTCCATACCCAAATTTAATATCTTTTTTTCCCCAGAGTGTTCTATCTTTTGCGCTTATGCATGAAGCTGATTCCACTGCAGGCTTTATGTTCTGAAACATCCAACTCCGGTTCACACAATGAGCCTCTAGGATAAGAATTTCACATTTGAATGTGAGGACAACTCAGCCCTGACATCTGTCTTTCAGTTTTTTGTTAGCAATGATTTCGTTGACCTGCCAGTAGGGATGTGTCCTTCCTGTTCCTCATCATTGTAAGCCCGTCTCTTCCTCTAAAGCACTGTATTTTTTTTCTTAAAGATTTTATTTATTTATTCATGAGAGATGAAGAGAGAGAGAGGTAGAGACACAGAAGGAGAAGCAGGCTCCATGCAGGGAGCCCCATGTGGGACTCGATCCTTGAACCCTGGGATCACACCCTGAGCCAAAGGCAGATGCTCAACCGCTGAGTCACCCAGGCATTCCTCTCTTAAGCATTGTTGCGTGAACTTTTCCCCATTAAGAAAGGGCCATTCTTTGATAAATTTCAGGTTTGAGGTCAAAGGAAGCCTCCAAACCGGAATGCCCAGTTCGTCTTCCATTTTTGGATGATATAGTTCAGTCAACAGATATTCACTGGTTGCCGTTTTATCAAGGCAATGTGCTGAATGATAAGAAGTTTAGGAAGATGAATAAGGCATGTTTCTTGCCATTAAGAAATTAATTCGGTGGGGGCAACCCGGGTGGCTCAGCAGTTTAGCGCCTGCTTCGGCCCAGGGTATGGTTCCGGAGACCGGGATCGAGTCCCACGTCAGGCTCCCTGCATGGAGCCTGCTTCTCCCTCTGCCTGTGTCTCTGCCTCTCTCTCTCTCTGTCTCTCATGAATAAATAAATAAATTAATTAATTAAAAAAAAGAAATTAATTCGGTGGAAAAGGGTCATATATGTAAATAAATAGGCAACATGGTAACAGGTAACTTAAAAGAAAACAAATTAGCCTCGGAAGTCCAGAAACTATAACAGGTAACAGAAATATCATTTATATAACCATGATTTTAAGTACAATTCTCCATGGGAAATGTAATTGTATAAGAATTTCTAATCCACTCTAATAAGAAACACACGTTTTAGGTGATCTTATTTGTTCTCTCTTCCGAAGTCTCACAGTGAAATGTCTTAAGCATTGGGGCCATATTTTCTGACCTAAGGATGGCTCCTGAAGTAGAGGTGAAGTCCCTGGAAGGAGAGACATTTCTCTCATGGGTGACCTCCTTCCATCGCTGACCCAATCTGATGACCCTGCTCTGCATAGCCAATCTCTTTGCTATTGAGAGGGTCCTAGAGGATTCATTGCACTTGCCGCATGTTGACTGGGGCAAGGCTGTGTTGTTTGCAGCCACATCCAACACCTAAACTAAGCTGCTCTGATCTCTTGGCATTTATTGTGTGGACCATGTACTGAGAAATTAATCAGATACCGTCTCATGACATTTCTTGTTCCACTGTTACTTAACACCTGTTGTCCAACATTGTACCAGTCTGATGGTGTTTTCATCATTGCCAGTTTTCAGTCTTTCTTACCTACACAGGGTCTGACGCATGTGTGTGCCTGGAATGAATGAAAGAATGGGCAGTTTAACTCTCCCTATGCTTTCTCTGTCCAAGTGGATGTACCGTAAGCTCATTGAAGACAAAGGCTGCTTTTCATATCTCTTATATCTCACACTGCCTCACACACAGTGCTCAATGAATTCAAGAAGATTGATGGGAACAGCTTATATTCACCATGGTTGGGACTTATGCCAGGCATAAATGGTGATGTCAGAGGACTTCAGAGGAAGTCTTTTTTTTTCTCCCCCCTCTTTGCTGATGGAACCTGGCTGATTTCCTGTCTCAGCATGGATCCAAGGACTGAGGCTATCAACTCAGGAAGCTCTTAGCTGCTTTCTCTTATCCGATTGGATAAATAATTTAGCCCATTTACAATGCCAAGTCTGACCTGTGGTGTTTCAGAGGAGGGAACACACTGGCCTCAGTTAACTGCACAGCTCTGCTGTCCATGGCCATCTTTCAGTGTGGTAGCTAGAGGCTTCTTAGTCCAATAAAAAGTGGAATTTACTATTTGTGGGGCAAGACGGCTTTTAAGAAGAGGATTTATCACCAGCAGCTAAACCTGGCAAATACTCATCAGGTAAGAACAAGATGATTTAGTTACCTGCTCCCCAAAACCCAGGAGAGATATTCTTAGGCTGGATTACATTACAACCACTTTGGAAGACCTATTAACAAGCAGAAGCAAACAGGTTAAATGCAAGTCACTGGGAGTCAGGCTGGGGCATGCCAAGTAACCAGCATTCTGAACATAACTTGGAAGTTTCAATAAAAGTCCATTAGAAAAGCTTCCCCAACATAATGCATATAAAGAATGGGTATTAATCTCTTGGTTTTTGAAATAATTAGAGCGCTTGCCATTTTTGTTTCTCTGTTACTAAGTGTATTTAATTATAATGTTTAGTCCTTACTCTGCTCTTTGAAACATGTGCCCTTTCTGTTTGGTTGGCAGACAGCGCACATGCTCCACTCGAGGGTGCCATGGCTGGCAGGGCATTGTCTCTGCTCCTGACCATTAACGCCTGAGTGCATTCTCCGTCGCACTTGGATGTAATCCCAACATCAAGTACACTTAGAGCGTCACTCTGTAACAGCAGACTAATGAGCTTAAACTGAAGGTGAATCCTGATTAGATAAATAATCAAATAAAAGTGTGATCTTTATTAATAAGTCAGCAGCAGCACTACAAGAGAATTCTTTTGATGAGAGAAATCTAGGGTAGGATCAGTACATCTTTAGAATTTCAATGAGATACCTCTATATCTTTAATTTATAAGCTATAAAAATCACTCAGCCTGACTTTTCTTTATTCACAATAGACCAATGAATAGAAATAATCTTTGCAATCAAACCAAAATCGACCTTGGATGCAAGCTATATACCTTAGGGGTTTTTTGGTGGGGGAGTGAGGGAGGGAGAAAATTATAGGACATTGCCTCCCTCTCCTCGTTTTTGTTTCTACAAGGATGAAGACCTACTCTTCTTTTTTTTTTTATTTAATTTAATTTTTTTTTAAGAGCTATTCTTCTTGTGTTTGGCTGCTATAGATTCTTTCCAGATTGTGGTGTGCACACACAGGCAGCTGACTGAGGGTAGGGGTGAGTGGCACTTCTCCGGTACCCTCCTAGGACTCCCGGTCCACAGCATCCTGCTTACAATGGTATTGGCTTCCTGCTTCTGCCTGCTGGGCTGCCTTCAGGTGGCAGGCTTACTCTATTCTTCCCTGGGCTGGATCCAAAAGAGGAAGGGGATTGTGTCTTTGCTCTGAGAAGCCTCCAGAGTTACTTGAATTGCTAAAGAAGCTTTAGAAACAAGCTTTAGTAAGTATCTTTACTGTTGTAGTCTCCCTTGTGATACAGAAAAAGCAGGTGGGCTTTTGGAAACAGACAGACCCTGGTTCATATGCTTGTGTCATCATCACTTACTAACTTGGGTTCATATAATCTCTCTAAGCCTCAATTTCCTCAATCTGTAAATTAAGAATGATGATGCTAATTTCTTAAATTGTGGCAAAGATGAAGTTATTACATAACTGTAATGAGACAGAAGGGTAAGGGGGTACTCACATTAGCGGTCTATCCTTTCACAAACATTATTGTGGGAATTTCTTTGTTCTTAGGTACTTTGTGTATACAAGGTAGCTAGCATGTAGTAGGTACTTGGCCATGTTAATTGGTCCTCCTGTATGTTCCAGACTGTTGGGTAAGTAAGCCAATGTTCACTGAAGTGGCTGAAATCTGATATTTGCTTAACTTTAATTTAGCTATTTGCTAGGTTAATAGTTGATGGCTTACTGACTGTATGATCAAATCTCTCATAAAAGTTTCTTCTAAGGTTGCATAGAGACAACCAGAAGGTCAAAGGGCTGTCAATTAGGCCAAGCCTCCACCTCAGCCATCAGGTGGGGAGAAAAGCTCCCTGACAAGATTTAGAGGAATTCATTTGGTCATGAACATCTGAGAGAGGTGGAAGCTGTCAGGTGACATCCTAAAAAGCCAGAAAAGGATTTTGCAATCTGTAGGCTTCTGGGAGTGAAGCTGGCCTACCCATCTGAGTGGATGGGCTACTTTCTGACTTGCATGTCAAATGCAATCTAGCCACTGCTAATATAATGCTTGTGACAATTTTGTTCTCACTTGAGTTGTCTGCTGAGTTTTCTCAATTCTCATTTTACAGTTCCCGATGTGGAGCCCAAGACCCTAGAAGACATGATCTTGTCCCTTTCTTAGTCTAACACAGGCATCTCAGGTATTTTCAGAAAAAAGTCTTTGAGGACTGGGTTGAAAGCTTATCTGCTGTTTACAAAATTTCAGATGATGCTGTAAAAGGCCTTTCTGTCATTTACAAAATTCTGGGTGATGCTGGCACTGCTTGTCTACAGTGGGTCTTGGCTCACAGAACATAGGCTGAGAGTCCTCATTTATAATAAGGTTATTTCTCTTCACCTGCTAACACTTTATTGTCCTTTGTCAGTTTTTTCTCACCAGACTAAGAAAATAATTATCTGTCTGCATTTTATTCACTCCTCAAAACACATTACCATGAAAATAAAATAAAAGGAAGACCAAGTTGCTTTTTTTAAAGCTTGATTTTGGAGGGAAAATCATGTGTTTGAAACATTTTACATTTCCACTGTGGAATTTCCAAGTGGAAATGTAGGCAGCTGAATAGTAAATTCTGGCACTGAGCCCTTGGGTGCAAATAATCTGCAGTTACAAAATTGCTGTCCCATCTGATTCTGAATG